ATAGTTATTCTTATTTTATTCTTATCTTAAGTGTCTTGAATAGGAATCAAATAAACACAAAAATGTATTTTTATCATATTTTATATTTCTTCTTTCAAATTGCTCTTAACATGTCCACTTCAATATATAAAATTCTATACCAAATCTAGTCATAAGGAATTATTACATGATTACTCCACCAGTCACTAGAACAGTACAGACACTCAAAAATGGCATATTATTTGCAGAAAATTAATTCCTTATTAAAGAAAATTTTCAGACCAATTAGGTGAAATAGGATGATTTTCTACGGCACACTAGTGTACCAAGGACCAGTGGTTGAAAAACACTGCATTAGGATGACTCACAGAAATCAGGGCGGGAAAACAAAACGGGAGGATACAAACAGATGGATTTAGAGCTGTTGGACCAGATGGGGTTTGGGAGCATCAGTTCTCCGTTTTCCCGTTTTCCTGCGGCGCCTGAAGGCACCGCGGCCCTGAAATCCGGCCGTACTTACTGCAGGGAGGCTGGTTTTTACGGGGATGGAGCTGTGGCCGTTTCGGGGGGAGGCCTTGGCCGGTCTTTTAGGGGAGGAGGTTGGAGTTGGAGTGGTGGAAGTTTGAGGCTTTGCGATGGAGAGGAAATGTAAACGGAAAACAAATGATCAAATGAAAGCGAACAGAAAAAAAAATGAAACACACAAAATGAAAAATGACTCCACTTCGAGAACAATGCTTAAGGATCATTCTGGTGCCTTAAAAGTCTAAATACGCTCCTTAAAGTTGACATAAAAGCTTTTTATGGGCAGCCCAGTAAAAACTGGGGTAAATTATTCCAATTTTTTTTACATTAACAAATAAAAACCTTTGGTATAAAGTCTTAAAATCTCCTATAAACAGGTGAAAGTCGCATAAACGTGTCTTTTCTCCTAAAGGTTTTCGTCTGGTTTACGTGAGTATTTAATAGGTGTGTTTTAATTGTGAATAATGTCCCTGGTGTTTCTCCAAAGTCTGAACCAAACAAACAGCTTCTGACTAACTGGTTAATCACGGTTTAGTGTTTATGTGTCACTAACCAGAGGAAAGAAATTATAAAAACCTGC